GAATGTGAAACCGATGATGTGCCCTGAAAACTTTCACCCAATCCACAATAAAAACCTTAAAAAAAACAAAAACCTTATGAATAGCAGAGAAACACTGTCAGATATAGTGCCGAAAAGTGAGCCCCTCAGGTTGGAAAGCATTCAATATGTGACTGGGGAAGAGCTGCCTCCTCAAAGTAGAGTTGACCATGATGGTGCAAATGGAGTAAAGCTCGGGGGAGAAAAGTCGTGGGACCTTCATTTGTTGATGGGGCACAACTCAAATTGAAGAGAAACAGCTATAAATATCCATCGAAAATCAGAACATGGAATGTACTGCCAGGACCAGCCTCAGCAAACTTATTCAGGGGTTCTAAAGGGGTATGCGGCGTCAGCGGGAAAGAATCACACAGAGTCGATAGGTCGTGATGAATTCAAAATCTTCTTCTTACATGCTTTATTCTCCTTTCATTCTTTACTCTCCTCCTTTATTCTAGCTTACAACCCCCTTATATACCGTTACAAAAAACATTGCTTTCATAGTAATCAATGTCTTCAAAATACAACCTATTCTGGGGCACGTTCTTCATGGTTTATGACCCTTAGATTTACAACAGGGACAAGAAGTTACAACATTATATCAGAGCAAACGAGACATCCTGGCGCCTTGAAATCTTTTGATTAAACATTTGTTCCTACATCAATAACTTTTATTCTTTTCTCTGAGGAGCAAGTTAACCTTCACATATGTTTCTTATCCTCTATCTGTTAAGTCTTGTTAAATCATCAATTTTAGTTGTTGGGTGCAATCAACTCCCTCAATACACTATCTGTTTATAGCCTACAAAAATATCACTTATCAGAACATTTGAAAAACTGAGGCTATAAAAAACAACTTCCCTATTTTACTGATCATTAATTTAAGAACGTCTAAGTCAGACTTTTTATTTACGTATCTGTATATACCTATAGCTTTTATTTATGGTCTAATTGCTTTTGAGGATTCTTTATTGTCTTAAACTAAGGTTACAAGGAAGAATGTTCATAATCACTAAACCTAAGCTGGTAGTAATTCAACTGACAAATCCTGTCTCCTAGCAGTCTTAAAAACATTGTTAATATAAGTATTAAAACTACCTATGATTACAAGTAGAGTAAATGTAGCTAATATGTGGCTTCTAACTTTTAATAAAAATATACTAAAGTGTAGGAGAGTCAAAATCTACAGTAAAGGGATACTAATAAAATCATGAATAAATCGGAGAATGAGTCAAAAAGAGAAAAATTGACTAGG